TCTAGGCTTCTCTGTCCTTTTTGTACAGGAGCAAAACCGAAACCGACCCAAACCGACCCAACCCGACTCAAACCGACCAGGTCGGTTTTGCCTATCAGTGGGTCGGTTTCAGTTTCCACCTCAGGTAACCCGACCAGGTCGGGTCGGTTGAGAAAACCCCAGTAAACCGACCCAACCCGACCCGTGAACAGCCCTATTTGAGGCAAAGACAAAAATGATAATTGCCAACACACCATAGAGAATGGAGCTACCAAATGAAGATGTTTATTTTTAAGGTAATATATAAAAAATGTAAGACTGTCTTGTTCTTAACTTAAAACAGCACCAAATTTCTTATGATAATCTAATGAACAAAATTGGCATGGCTCATTAACCCATTAACTGCACAATACAAAAATAAACCAATACAAGTCTTCAAGGTTTGGAAGTAGCAAAAAATAAAGAGGAAACCATACACTTTTCCAGGATAAAATGCACCTTATTTCTATGCAGACTACCTCTAACAAAACATTAAAAAACAAAAAAAAAATAAAATCAAATACTGTTAATGCATGTTCCAGTTTACATACTCTCAACAGCCCTTTCAGATATAACATAAGCTGGATCACCAGATTCACCATCTGGAGCCATTGGAGTAAATTTTGCAACAATATAGTAGCCAACAGCTCCTAAAGGTATCCGAAAAGCCTGTGACACAGTAAACTCACTTCTGAAATTACATATTAAGAAAATAAATGAAGAAGAGAAACAGTATTAACTTGAAGAATGAGTCCAAGATGAGTATGCATTAATAACTTCAATGGTTTCTCACCTTGGCAATTTTGGATGTACTCACAGCTTCAAGACCATTCTCACCCTCCAACTCTGAAGATGTTGTTTTAAACCATTGAACCCTACTAGATCCTTCAGTTCCTCCAATGACAGTAGCAGTTACAGATACCTTATTCCCCTCTCTTATATCCCCAATTATCTTCAGATTAGTGACTTTTGGGGGTGCTGGAATTTGGACAAACAAATGCACGAAAAACAAAAGGATATTAATGCCATACTGGCAAAAGAAGTAAATGCAAAATCAGAAATTGCTCAATAAAATAAACTAAAGAGATGGATGAACAAAGAAACTTGAAGAAAACCATCAAGCTCAAAGAAATATAAGCATGTCTAAAAGTATTTTACTTCTCTATTTTCAAATTTCAAAGCACTACCACAGTTCATCAGTTAAGATACTTTTTCTTTAGCCTATTGTTTTAAGTAGTGAGAAGGCTAGACTAAAGTGCATTAGAGCATCAATTCCTAGTTGGTTTGTTGGGAGATTTGGACAGAGAAATAGGTGTATTGTTTGAAGACAAATACTGATCTACAAAAAGAATTGTTGCTGATTTTTTTCAGTATTAGCAAATGGGGTTTCTACAGAATTTTTTAATGCATCCAAGGTTTTTCTTTTAAGATAAGAAAAATTTTATTAAACAAAAGAAGGTACAAGAAAGGGTGATAAGCAATCATCAGAGGGAAAAGAAAACTCCCAATGAAAACCCAACTAAAGTAAAATAAAAACCCGGCCAGGCCAAAACACCCCAAACAGGCCGACCCCCCAAAAACTAAACCCCTTACAAAAGGAACAAAAGTGATACAAAACAAACAATGAAACTCCAATCATCAAAACAAACAAAACAGACTCCCTTTCAAGCCCCAAGCACCCACAGCCACCACCCAACAAGAACCCAAATCAAAACCCAAGCCCCTAACGGATTCCAATTCAATCAGTCTTCTTGTTCGATTTGTGAATGCAATCTTCTTGTTGTCTTATGGCTCCAATTTTGTGTTTCCTTACTATCTTGCTGGGCCTAATGCCAAACGGGCCTCCTCTTATCCTTACAAAAACCTTTTATGCTGTTATCTGCTGTTGACTTTTTCTGTTTTTCCGAGTTCTGCATCTTCTCTCTGTGTTTAAACTTCCCATGGCTTCTTCAAATTCTCCAACAGATTTCTGACCCATCCTCCCCTTTCAATTCTTCTTCCTTTTCCTTGAATCTATTCTCACAGCCTTCTTTCAGCTCTTTCATCCCTTGAGATATTAAATTACTATAATTAGAGTCAACCACTGGATTATCTTTATTTTCGTTCTCTCCAATTATTTCCTCCACAGACCTGGTTTCCTTCGCAAATTCCTCCCCACCTAAGAAAACAGACCCAGAATCCTGCTGACTTCCACTTCCTTATTTACCACTTTTTCAATGTAGCAATTCTTCTCCACCTTATGTACCTCATCAATCATAGGATCAACCTCACTTTCCTCCCCAAATCCCTCCCCCGAGTCCACTTTCTCCCTCCCCTCTCTATTTTCTTCTAAAGGAAAAGATATATATCTTTCCCTTTTGTAGATACTACCCCACCATGACTCTTCTTTCCTATACCCCCACTTTGTTAGACAGTGTATGCCCTTAGGTCCAATCAGATTGATGTACAGATACTATAATTGTAAATGAATAAAAGTACATTATTGCTTCATGTTGACATTGGTACTTTTTTGTATAATTACCCCTTGAATTGGACACTTATGAGACTCATATTAATTTAGAATGTTCTCAGTCATTGGATAGACTTGGGGAGTTTATCCTGCCAAGGCTGACACTAATGTGCTACCAAAGAAGTTGGCACAACTTGTCTCAGCTGCTAGGGTTAGACCAAAAGCATATTTTATGTGTTTTTGGATGAAATATTGAACCCAGACCATTTTCCAGTTATGCCCTGGACCTTGGAGATTGATGGCAAAAACTGGAAAGTTACACATAACCCCTACACTTGATTATGGTACTGCACTAGGTGTTGGATTGGGTTGTCTTTGATATGCCAATCAGTGAAATTCATCATCGGTCAAAACCTGGGTATGTTGGGGCAGTCTAAGAATTCATCTGAGTGGGTATTGGCCTCTTTGTCTGACAAAGTGAATGATAGGGCTTACACTCTCTCTTATGGAAACCTAAACTGTCAGCAGTGGATTTCAAATGTGTTTGGGATTTGGTTTTGCAAAATATATATATATATTATGTTTTATGAAAAATGTTTGCAAAAGGTTTTAATTCCCGAGATCCATCCGAGCAGAGAGTGTGACACTGTACCTTGCAGCAAGGGGAAAGGTCCTTCCCTGTCAAGCAATGTTGTGATCATTATGGGCCGAGAGGTTAAGTGTAAGAGACCATTACAGGGCTGATTACCTGATGGACTCTATCTTACTTAAGTCCATTATCCTTAGATCTTCATAGGATGGTTGAATTCAATGATCATTTAGGTGTAAATGTTGGGCCCATATTGAGCCTAGTGATGTGCTCAGGGGTTCACTGTTTTTAGCAATAAAATCAGCTAAGCCTTTTCAATAGAGGCTGGGTTGAACCCATGTGGACTTATGTGAGGTCATTGTGGGGTCCCATGCCATACAAATCAGGCCTAAGTTGGCCATGTAGCATCTTGGGTCGTGAGCCTTTGAAGGAAATGGGCCTAGCCTAAGGCCCACAATTAATAAGATTAAGTAAGCTGTCACATGACAACTTCATGTGCTCTGGATCAAATCTGGGTTTGGAAATGGGTATGGAGCACCCATCCTCTTAAGAGGATAAGGCTTATCTCTTAATAGAGTCTAAATCCAAATTAGATTTGGATAATCTCCTAATTTGATTAGGAGAGTGCTCCATAAGGAGATAAAAGAAGAAGAGGGTGAACCAGACTAGAACACCACTTCTCTTGTTCTCTCYTCTTCTCTTTTATCTTCCAAGAAACCCTATCACGACCTAGGCTTTCAAGGACAAGTAGAGAGCAGTTTTCTTCCATTTAGCAAGAAAAATTCAGAGGAATTTCAGGCTCACCTTCCCAGTTCAATCCAAGCAATTGGGTTGCAATTTTGTTGAAAACTGTGTTGTTGAATCAGCTTCACCTATACAATGTGCCATCTTCAGTGGAGGCTGGTTTTAGGACTGATTTGGGCGTGAACTTCCACCTTGGGATCTACATTTGTGGTATCCGTATTAGGTATACATCTCCCTCTTTGTTTGATTTCAAATCTAGTACAGTTCAGTGCAAGACCGATCTTGAAAAATGCAGTTTTTGAAAACATAGGGAATTCGATTCCCAAAAGGATTAGGAAATTTTTGACATTTCTCCCATCCATATGATGGATCCTATTATCCTAACCCTTCCAACACACTTCCCCCTCCCTCATTCCTTACCCCTTTCTCCTCTACCGAAACATTAACCCCTTCTCCTCTTTTGTCCCCCCTAGCTCTTCCTCTTCTATTGTTTCCTCCGTCCCGTCAACCCCATTCTTCTCATCTCCTTGACCATGCTCCTCTTCCTCGACTCTAACTTCATCTCTTTCCCGCACAGTCCTAACCACCTCTTTACTATGCTCTTCATCCATCGCTACTCTTTGCTCTTCCAAGTCTTCTTCCTCCATCACATATCAAAAAAAAAAAAAAGTCTTCTTCCTCTATCTTTTCCAAAGCTTCTTCATATTCTTTCGTAAATTCTTTTCCCGAATGAGTACACTCCATGATCTTGGGTTCCGGTCTTCCAACACAGATTTCCCTAGCTATTGGTTCGATTTCATCCAAGGGTTTGAGACAAGGTGAAGTGTTAAGAAGGTTAATAATAAAAGAGTGAAAGCAAGGTTAATTGAAAATTTTAAGGTTGGTGGGGTGTGACCATTACACATTTTCAATATGAAGATGATACCTTGATTTTTGTGGATGTTTCAGTGGAGCAAGTGCTGAAGATTGTGCAGTGGCCAAAAAATTAACATCTCCTAAATGTTTTGAGATACCAATAGGCCAAAAAATTAATTTAAATAAGTGCTTAAGATTGGGGTGGGTGATATTTCTCATACACTACTTGAAGATTGTGCAGTGGCAATGCAGTGTTTAGTGGATGAGTTTCCTTCTACATATTTGGGTTTACAAATTGAATCAAAGGTGGCAACACCACCAATAAGGCAACTGGATTTGAACAAGATTGAACAAAGGCTGCCTGGGTGGAATACTGGAATAGGAGATGTTAATCATTTGGTGGGAGAATTACCCTTGTAAAGAGTGTCTTAACCAATTTACCAATTTATTACTTCTCAGAGTTCCAACATCAATGGCTGAAGAAATTGGAAATAAAAATGCAAAGGGAATTATTGCGGAATATTAAGGTGGAAGAAAGAAATTTTCATTTGGTTAAATGGGATTGGGTGTGTAGGGACATGAAGGATATGAGTTTGAAGATTAGGAGGATAAGGATGTTTAACAAAGTTTTGTTAGGTAAGTGACTTTGGAGGTTTGAAGTGGAAAGGGAGTCTTTGTGAAGGAGGGTTATAGCTTGTAAGTATAGGGTGGTCAATTTTGATTGGGATACGAGGGAGGTTATATCATAACATGGGTCGAGTGTGTGGAAGGGGTTTATGAAGTTTCATTCCCTATTGGTGTCTTTTTCTTCTTGGAAGGTTGGTTAAGGTTCTAGTATTAAGTTTTGGGAGAATGATTGGTCAGGTTTGGGGTAGGATTGCAATTTCACAATCTTATGAAGTTAAGGGGAGGGTTGTGGTGTAGTATCTCATTTTTAGAAGACCACTCTTAGATTGAGAGTTGGAGGTGTGTGTGATGCTTCTATCTAAACTTCAAGAGGTGGAAATACATCCAGACAGTTCAGATTTAAGACAATGAAAGGAATGGAGGAATGGCAAGTTTTTGGTGAAACCCTTTTACAAAGCATTGGCAAGAAATCAGGTTGGAAGATCTTTCAATCAAAGGTGTTTGGTGTAATCCAATACCTCCAACAGTGGAAGCATTTGCGTGGCTGGTAGCAATGGATAGTATGCTTCCTCAAGATCATTTCAAAAGTAAAGGATTTCATCTGGCTAACAGGTTTTTTCTATGTGAATCAGAAGTCCACAATGTATTCCATCCATGTTTTGGGTGCTGCTATACAAAATTTATTTGGGGATACATTTCTGACTTCTTAACATGGAGATGTGGACACTATTGCAGCTCTACAAGGTATTCAGATAGCAAATCAAATAGGAGTGGAGCATCTCCTAATTGAAGGAGATTCTAAGGCAGTTATGGGCTGGTTAACAGACCCGAGTTCAGTAATTTGGTGCTACAAGGATTTCCTAAAGAAGGCAAGCTGGTTAACAAGCAACAGGAATGTTAGTTCATGTTGGGTGAGAAGGTCAGTAAATGCTATGGATGATAGTCTCGCTAAACAGGGGATCTTGAGGGAACATCTGTATTGGGCAACCTTGTAATGAATTGATTATAGTGTACTGTGGTTTCTTACACTTTCTTTTACTTTCAAGAGAGGTCGCACCTAGTGCCTCTCTTTGGGGTGCTGTAACTTTGCTTACATATTGGTAATGAAGTAACTTTTCAATTATCAAAGAAAAAATGGAGATGTGGTGGCAGCCTAATGGCACTTTTGACTTTTGCATTGCATTTTGGCCAGTTCTTAATGGGAATAGATAGGGAAAAAAATTTTGGAGTTGTGTTCCTTTTGAAGTTTGTTGGGAGGTTTGGAAGGAAAGGAAAAGAGGAAATTTTTAAGGAAAATGAAGAGACAAGGAGGTTCTATGCAGGAATAGGGTCTAAACTGTTCGACTGGATTTTGGTTTCATTAGAATTTAAGGGGATCAATAAAGAATCTCTGGATCCAGTTTTTGGTCTACTCTTGACTCTTGAGATAGAAAATGGAGGCTTTGGTTGAAAAGTTTTATGCACTTTTTCTTTTTGCATTGGGTGATGCCTATTACCTCATCACCTTAAGCTCTTGCAATCTTGTTTATATACTGATATTTTCTTTTTATTTTTATCAAAAAAATAGGCATTAATTCATCCAGAATTTGACAGTGTAACACAGAGGTATTTGAGTCAAGTTTATAGTAAATTTGGACTTAGCTAATACAAATGGATGAGATTTTTAGGTTGCCATATGGTTTATGTTTTTGTTTTTGTACAAGGAGGTGAAATATTTCCACTAAATGGTTGTAAATTTGTAATCTTTTTTTCCAATAATGGATTTTTTTACTTAACATCAGAAAAAAAAATCTAAAAGCAAATAAACTCATAAATGATAAAAGAATATAAAGGCTTGAAGAAAAGATCAAATCACTTTCTTATGTGGGAAAAGGAAGATGGACAGGTTGCTTTTCTTTGCCATTCCATTATGAACCTTACTTATGGATCAGTTGCATGAACCTTTCTTTACCATTCCATTATGTCTACAACCATATACATAATTAGATTGTTGGCCTCAGGTTGCTTTTCACTACTTTAACCCATGCTCTTTTGTGCAAGTCCCTAGTTCTTCTAGATCATTTAACTTGTATCAAGTCACTTGTTATTGGTACAGTCTTTGGTCTTCTATGCATACACCTAAACCATCGTAGTCTGGCCTCATTATTGTCTATGTTGATTGCAATTTCTTCTATTTTTGGCTTTAATATAATTTTATTTTGAATTTTTATCATTTTCTATGTTTTTTA